GTTATAGAAGGATAATGAGTGACCTTGTCAAGGAGAAAAGTTTCATCCTGCGCCTCAGTTGCAAATACAATATATCTCCACCAAATCCGCCCTGGCAACACCCTTTCTACATCCTCATCTGCCCTCTCTTGCCAGTCTGTGTACAGAGTACATCCTTGGCCCTCAGGCAAGCATAATTTAGAGTTTGATATTGAGTTTAATGACTAAGCAAGGTTCCCGGTCGCATGACATAACTTGCCAAGCTTCCCCAATATTTCGGCTTTCGCTCAGCTTGGAGATCGAGCTCTTGACTACAACATCGCACGAGCGAGGCCACATCCGTCTGCTGCATAGTACAAACGACTCTCATTACTAGCTCTACCTGACAACGGGGCAGCTGCTGTTTATCTATCCATATCCCATACAGTCTTCTACCAAAACACCCGTCCGTCTTTCGGCACCTTCCGATACCCATCATCATCATGCGTTTCTCTTCCACCGCTCTCGTCGCCTTGCTTCTGTCTCCTCTTGCCCTAGCCGCTCCTCCTTCACTTTTCCGCGATACCTCACAGATACCATTAGACACTGATGGGGACCTCAAAGTCCCCGGTGACAACCCCCTGATGTACTGCGCCGATCCAGCGGAGAACCTTCTTCAAATAGAGAATGTAGACCTCTCTCCGAACCCACCACTCCCGTAAGTCGTTGACTCTCAGCTTGCCTCTTTCCGATAGTCTATCTATGTGCATATACCTGTAGCTTATGCTAATGTACAAATATGTTACAGTGGCCAACCTCTGGTCATCAAAGCCTCCGGCATCGTGGCCAAGGAGATCAAAAAGGGAGCTACAGTTCAGTTGCAGGTCACATATGGCTTCCTTCAGTTAATAAACCAGGAGATGGACCTGTGTGATCAAACCGAGAAGGTTGGGCTAGACTGTCCACTTGAGAAAGGCAAGATGGTACTCAAGAAGAGCGTTGATATTCCTCCTCAGGTTCCTCCAGTAAGTCATCCTTTTTGTTGGTCTCCACAAAGAAAGATAGGCGGAAGACTAATGCATATATTTTCAAAACAGGGCAAATATATCGTCCGAGCGGATGTTTCGAGTGCCGAGGGGGAGCCGATTACCTGTCTTACAGCTACCGTCGTCTTTGAAATCAAAGTGTAAAAACCACATTAGGTCACCATCGCCTAATGGGGGTGCCTCAGGACTCGTTGGGTATAGTTAGGGTCATTCTAGCAGCCGTTGGATAACCCTTCCAGGCCTCCTACGTCAGTGGTACGACTGATGCTGGGTTGATACGATACGATACGATGTGTATGAATTGTGCTATGATCCTTTGGATACTTGCGTTTACTCATGTCGATGATATGCACTGCTTTGTTTAAACCAAGCCTTTGGACTAACTGAGCTTTGCTATAATGTCGACTAGCCCATGTATCTCCGATAGCCATGGGATACCTTCCTTCCGGTTTCTACATACCACTTGAGAAATACTAACGCGTGTTCTGCTGAATTTTGGGTTTTTGTTCCTGCATATCCGCTCAAGCATGCCTTGTTTACTTGATGATTTTATTTCATATTTCGTTGACATTTTATCCCGTTCGGTTCATACGTTCAAACGCAGATAGATAACCATAATACAAGCAATTAGTGAGGATAGATCATATAGCAGTCGCACTTCTCAGAACACGGTAGTAACTATGTATGACAACCTAAATCATATCTTCAAATTCTATATTATTGCGAACTATCACCGAAATATATAATGATCAAAAACACAACGGTCTCCCGCATTTGAAACAGTGCCTACTCGCCAAAGAGTCTTCTCACACGTCGTAATACACTGTCTTTTTCGGGGTCGTAAGGATGGTCCTTGCTTGGAATCTCAAGCACGGCCGGGAAAGCTTCGGTGAATTTATCTACGCTATTGCGTATTCTTTCAGCCACCTGTTAAAACACCACAACGTTAGCGGGTTATCCTGACTTTGGAGCTGAAGACAGGGGAGCTGCATACATGCTGGTTTATGAGTAGGACACCGATATCCTTTCTCTCTTGTGTGAAGTTTTTGAACGCTTTTTCAATGGCACTCGTTTCGGTCTTGGAGTCGACAACAAGGAAATTGCGCTGGGAGTCTGGAGGATCCGTTACGTGCTGGGTAGCCCAAGTCAGCTCCTCCGTCAACAGTCACGGACCTCCCTCTATCAAGACAGCGAGGGAAATCTCATGGTTAGCACTGTAGGTGTACTCACACCTATGCCAGCAAGTAGAAGTCCGGTCACAGAGCTGTATCAAACCTCTTATGTTAACAACATCCCCACGTATATATGAAGGTTGGACGGTAGCTTACTCCTCATCTCCGATCACGGCGAGAAATTGCCTATCCTAGATATCAAAGAACGGGAAAATATCAGTATCTAGCTTGCTAGGCCGGCCGTCAAAATACCTGTGCCGCTTGGGTCCTTGAAGAGAGATTATTGTTGTACCTTGGAGCCTGAAGACATACTGCTTCTGACGGCGTAAGGGCGGGAAAAGAAGTATCTAACAGATCCCCTTGCACGGCCCAGCTGTTATCCTGAACAGATAATCGATATCTCCAAAGTGTACAATTCCCTCCTCGCAGAAGGAAATGAGCAAACAAGACGGCCGTTTCGTTGCTTCTCGTCTGCGGGCAAAGCTGTCTTGACGGTCGATCCAAAGTTGGAGCTGCTTATCGGATTGCACATGATCTCATGCAGCTTATGTAATCCATACAGATCCCTTCTTCCGCGTTGTTGGCGATTACTCGAAGGCCTGCAATAGCTAAACGGTAATATCAAGGCTTCATATTTAAGCCAAACCCCTCTTAAAAGCTGACCCTGCGTACAGAATGACTGGCCGTTTGGACACCTTCCAATGCCTGGCGCTCTCGCTGTGCCTATATTTTACTACTGTCACGTGATACAATCGCCGCCCAGCAACGAAACTCCAACCATAAACAAATACTTTTTCTACTTTTCTACTTTTCTTCACAGCAAGAAAGCAGCAAAGCAGGAATTGAATATCGACACCAAGCCCAGGTACTGCGTGCTGGAGCTTTTGAGCAGGTGACTAACTCATCTAGACACTTACAGAGATACCATGCATTGGAATTAGAAGCTCTAGGAACCGACAACTGCCTGCTCTTCACCCCCTGCGACATTCAAAGCCGGAGCTGGCTCCCACGTCTTACGATGCCCCCTCTCATTCGGCGGAGACCGCTTCTCGAGCGCATCAAGGCCTATTTGAACCCTCTTGACTTTCTGTTATGGCTTTCGGAGGAACTTGACTCCAGTGATTGGGAACAGTGGGAGAAGGAGTGGGCGCTACCCGTTGGAATCGCGTTGAACGTTTTATTTCTCGTTGCGCGTGCAAATAGCCAGAAGAGCAGCCGGGCTCATGACGACGTGTTTGGAGACGAGGGAGGTGTAAGCTACGTAGCTTGGCTGGTATGCGGAATCTTTGATCAAAACGGTAGCTTTTTAGGGTTTCATATGCTAACGGATATCTCGGTTTTACAGGCATCGTTCATCGTTCATGCGCTGGCGCTTCTGTCCATCTCAAATGCGCTATATGCATTTTGCCGGACGCGTCCCTACCGCTTATTTGAAGTGCCTATTGAGAACGTACCATCAACACCCTCTGCCAAACGAGTACAAGTGAACTCCTCGCCGATGTCATCCACACCCCTGCGCTTCATTTCCGACGTTCTATCTGCTAGCTCAGCGGAGAAGAGAGCACATCCTGATGCCCACCGTGATGTATGGCAGCTCTCTGTCTGGGATCCGCACCCAATCTCTATTCGACTCTTTTGTCTATTTAGTCCTGGTCATATTCTCGTGTATTGGTTATTCCTGCCGACGCTCTCCTCGGACCCCCGGCCCAGTGTAACGATAGTGACCACTATATTTTTGGCATTGCTATTGACTGCGCAAATGTCTGCCCTTTCGGCCTCCTATTCCCAGCAAGCTAAAGATTCAGCTTTGGTCCATAAGGAGGTGTTGAATGAATACGATACGAAATTCGTCCACCCAAGAACAGATCCAGATGTTCGCGATGTTGCCACTCAGTTTTCACAGGCAGATCATTTTATCCCACATAAGGATGAAAAGTATAATGTGGTAGAAACTTATGCGCCATCCACTACACAACACACTTTCAAGACTCGCCCGAACCCCAACTACATCCATCATGTCGATCCCGATTACAGTGTGAAAAACCGACCACAGGTGACTCCTAGAACATCTCTGTCAACACCGCAAGTTACGTCCACCGGTTCTATACAAAGGACGACTGATATCCAAACACCCTCTTATACTATGGACACGTTTACACCCATTAACAAGAAAAGCGGTGCCATTCGCCAACCGCAATTCAGACCACCATCTGGTACGGGCGATGGAGGAAGCCTTGGGGTATATTCCCATGCTCAATCTCCCCTACGAAAGTCAGCAACACCCTATTTGGACCGGAGGCAAAGTTCTAGCTACCGAGATTCTGACGGCGCGCATAGTCCCAGGAAACCTCCAAGCAGCCCTCTCAAGCGTTCAAGCGTGGCAGGCGATATGAGCTCCATTCTGTCATCCAGCCGGAGAGCTCGGCTTGCGGACGGACTTTCTCCTAGGAGAGAAAGTGGGCGTTTTTGATAAGAGCCTTTCTGCTTGATATTGTTAGTTTGCCGACAATGAATCCGTACATTTGTATAAAAGCCCTTCTCTTTTTTACCTCTCTAGCATTGCAAGTTATAATTTGGTTGAATACCTGTACTCCTTTCAATGCCTTTTCACCGCATATCGCCTTCCAGCGCTCTTCATAGCTCTTTCTTTTTCATAGTACTTGTACTTGTTTATGATACCCATAGTGCTTGCCTACTTCCCAAGGATGACCAACTGGCATGATAACGCAGGTTTTCCTTTATTACTTTGGTTATTGTTTATCTCGATATTTGATATGTCGAGTTGCTTTCCTTGTGAGCAGTTGCTGAAAGTCCATCGTTTCTACTTCTCACCACTACGTACGAGTGTCTGACATTCTCTCAATTCAATTCTCTACCTTCGTGTGTTATTTTTATCCTGCTTCAGAACATTCTTCGCATCTCCCCATTATGCCTATGCCTGATCTGACGACCAGTTTTTCAGATAAAGCAAAGGGCAAACCGACCCAGAAGAAACCTATACGCTCGGGATCTTGGTCGGTATGGCTCTCCGGATCAGTGTTTCGTAACACCGATACACAGGAGGAGCCTATCTCAAATGCTGATGGAACAAATAATGATCCCGCTGCTAAAGCTAGTCCCAATGTTGAGATGGCCATAAACAAGAATGAGAATCACAGTATCGAACACAAGAAATGTTCTGCTGGCGAAGAACCTGCTGAGGAGGCGGGAACCGGCACTGAAAGTGACGCCCACAGCGACGCAGGAACTGTCAGGAGACCCCGGATCCCCAGCCGCAATACACCCCCCAAGTTCATCCTACCTCCCGGAACTCTGGGTGACCACAGGCCACGGCCTTCGTCTCATAATGAGGCCCACCCCTCGCACCGGGACGACATGTTGGAAAGGCACAAGCCTCACCATTCAGACCTTCAGCAGCCATCGGCTGGTTCCCTACCTTCAGGCCCAAGAAGAACTTCGCAGACTGTGAGTCGGGACGATTTTCTTACAGCTCGCGGTGCAAATCCACGAACTGGAGTTGTCAGCCCGGATTTAACAGATTACAGCCATTCGGATGATGTCGACCCACAGATCGAAAACTCTGGGGGAACTATGAACAATCAGAAATGGCGTCTCAAGGGAGATCAGTGGATTAGCCTTGATGCTTCAGAACGGACGCCGGTGCCTACGCCGTCCTCCGACGCAGGTATGAATAGTTCACTGTTAATTAGCCCTCGAGATCAGGCAGAAGCTCATGTGGCCTTCCTATCAGATGCTGGTGTACAGCTTAAAAATCTTGAAGATCGATTTGTTGTCAACATGCCATCCGCTAGGGAACCAAATCCACCATCTATGACTCCTCGGCAAATAGCTGACTTTCAGCAGGCTTGCAATCGGTTCTATCGCTATGATAATAATATGATCCATCCCTCAAGAGTACCAAGTCCTCGGCCTAGGACTCCTGAGGGTCCCAGTACTCCTCCAAGGAGGCTT